AAAGGAGTAGCTAGACTGACTTAGCTTCAAGCCATAGCTCTGCCACTTACCAGCTGGGAGGAATGTGTTCATCTCAGGGTACTCATGTGTAGAATAGGGAGAACTATTAGGATCTACCTTAGAGTGTTATCCTGGAATGAAGGGTGCTAAAGCACCAAATGTAAACTGAACATTTGCAACTTGCTGATTGATGGATGATACTGCTGTGAGGCCACTGTCATCCCAAGGATCCTCACTGGACATCTGTGGGCACTGAATCTTACAGGCTGAAAAGTTGTATCCCTTTCAAGTGGTTGTGGCAGGGTTTGGATCAGATCTGGCAGAACTTTAGTATAATACCAAAGCTCCTGGTCATCACCAACCAACTCTAGCCACCTGCTGCAGAATGTTTTGGGGTGACCCCTTGGCAAGAAAGGGAGGAGGTATTTCTCTTATCATCAATGCCAAGTGATACCACTAAATGATTCATGCAAAAGTCCCACTAGGCAGGCCTTCTTCTTGGTGTTGGAATTGCTAATTTGATCTAGAAAGACTCATGGTAATAAGCCTGCAGCAGAGTGTTTCTCCAAACCAGGCAGCACTGATTCATTGGTGGACTGCCCTAATTATGGAGGGCTTCCTTAGATGGTGGACTGCTGTGGGTGATGAAGGACTGTCCTGGGTTGTAGGGGACTGCTCTTGGTGGTGGAGGACTTCCTTGAATGTTGGACAGCTGCCTCAGACTGTGGAGTCAGCTGTTGGAGATGGAAAACTGCTCTGGGTAGAGAAGCAGTCTCCTGGGTGGTAGGATGTGGTGCAGGATGCCCAGTTATCTGACTCTCAGGATTGGGACCAAAGGCTTATGACACGGGGTTCCACATTTTTCTTTGGATTAATAAGGGGTGCATTTCCCTGGAGACAAAAATAGGGCAAAGCAGTGGCCACATTGCACCTAAGACTGTGAAAGGCCAGGTGGCTGGGTCCAGGATGAGAGGCTTGCATGCATCAGTTGGGTCTTGAGGCACAGCTGGAAGCCTTGAATGGGACCGCCCTCCAGGAGACAGGAAGAGTGAGGGAAATCCAATTTCTGGCTTTCCTCTCAGTGTGAGCACTGCCTCCTCCTCCAGTTCCGGCCAAGAGGGGCAGCCATGCCAGTCAATGAATACCACTTTCCGAGGCAGATGGAAGAGAACCTTTTGCTTCATTCTGCTGAGGTTGGAAGATCTAACAGAAAAATCTCTTCTTGCCTGCATGGCTCCTTGTTCTAAAGTAGATGGCCTCCAAGACCTCCTCCAACTCATATTTTCCCCTATTTCCAGCACCCCTCTTGGTGAACACTCATGAAGGGAGTTTCCTCCACTTCTCAGTTTTCCTGTCCTCTGGTTTCACTGACACAAGCTGACCCCAACCAGTATCAGTGGCAGTCCCTAACACATATATTTTTTTGATTGTTCTGATGACATTCTGGAGATTGAATCTCATTGGGTTCCCTGGGTCATGTGCTTATCCCTGAGCCAATCACTGGGACGAACACCATATAACATGCTGATTGACCAAAACTGGGTCATGTGCTCAAGCCTGGAGTTGGGCCAATGCCCCATGAGCAAGCGAATTCAGTGAGGGGTAAGGCAGGGAGCAAATCCATGCTCATTAAAGGAGGGGGTTCACATCTGAGATTTCCAGGTTTCCTACTTTTGCTCAGGCCACTTCTTCCACCTGAGCCTTCACCCTTTTTCTCTGCAGTGACTTCTTACCCCTCACTCCCCACCCCTTCTGGTTTGATTGTTAACGTGACATCAGTGTGCTGCAAGGAGAGATCCTCCTCCTGTGCCTTGGTTGACACCAAAAGAAGGGGTTAGGAGTCATGGGACCCCTGCCTCCTTTCAGATCCGTAATGCCACGTTTAGTTTCCTCTTTCAGGGCTCCACAAAAAGGCCATCACCATCGGTCACTCCCCCATCTGCACAGCTCTCCTTTTGCCTCCAGTCTTGGCTGCTTACAGCCACACTTTACTCCCTCCCACCCTGTGAGCAGCAGAGGGTAGGGATGGTAGGGATCGTGTGTGACTCAGCCTTGGTTCCAGCAAAGTATCTCTCAGTCATGTTCACAAGACTCTCAGGAGTCAAGAGACCTAGATAACCTTTATGCCTCTTGATCCTTTCTGTGCATTAAAACATGAAGAAGAAATGCTAAAGCACAGCGAGAGAAATTGTTCTATACTTTAGTGTTTTCTTTGAACAAATTAATACTTTAACACTAAAGCAAATGTAACACACTAATTTACTCTGCACTAAATAATTCCAACAAGTGCAAAATGTCAGAATATTTATGACAAAAGAATGGCAATTCAGAACTTTTGACAAAACAGACAACGTTACAGAAATTATGATTTGAATACTAACAACTCATAATCTCCCAACTTAATTCTGTTTTTAGTGTTCTACCATAGGTGGCAATGTCCTACAATGTAATTTGTTATTCACAAGGTAATTATAGGATTTATTTTTTAAAAACTTAATTCACAGCACATGCCAGGCAGTGGGGTCTGACAAGGAGACCCACGTTTAAAGTTGGAAAGTAAGGATCTTCTTTTAGTTCTCTTGTCCATTACTGAGGCTATGCATAACTTCACTGGGTGAAAATGTCAAGTCCAAGTTTGAGGCCTTTTGTGAATGCACAGCAGGCAGAGTACCTCCTCCTACCCACCTTCTTCTCTGCCCATCCACACCCACTGTGATCTCTACTCCTGTGTGCCTGTGGAATTACTTTGAGTGCTGCTAATTCAGGCCTGACAGTACAGTGGAGATTTGGGGACAGACAGGGAGGGAGGCGGTACTGGGCTGGCTGACATGGGCACATTTGGCGACAGGCTGTGATCACACTGCGGGTGGCTGGACGGCCTTCTTGGCCCATGCATATGCATTATACCAGCTTCAGGGAGCTGGGGAGTTGGCCAGCCTCCAGGAAGGGCGCCATATGGAAGGTATGTGGGGTTTTGATTTTTTTCATGACTTTATCAAAACAAAAGAAGTAAAAAAGAAAAAGGAGAAAGGAAATTTTTTTACAAAGTTGTAGCCATTAAACTGCATTGTCAACTTGCTTGGCTTGAGAGCTGCCCAGGGGATTAGTAAAACACACTTCTGGGTGTGTCTGGGTTGGTCATAGGGGTGTGACCTTGGGGTCTATATCTGGTCTCTGCCCCTTCATCTCTGGCACTGTTTCCCTGCTCAGCTTCTGTGATGCCATGAGCTGAGCAGCTTTGCTCCACCATGATGTTCCTGCCTTGGAGCCCAGCAGTCCATGGCTTGAACCCCTGAAACCATCAACCAGAATAAAATATTTGTCCTTTAATTTGCAGGTTGTACAAACTTTGGTCACAGCAATAAAAAACCAACCCATACAAAGGTTAATTAACTAACTGCTCCTGCCCCCAAAAGGCCAGGTGGAGAAGCTGAGCCACAAAGCATCAAGGGCAGGTGTCCATGTCCAAAGGCAGAAGAGGGCTTCAGGTATCTCACCTGACCCTCTGGAGAAGGATAACCTGATTTCTTTTGTCCCTTTTAGGATTTCCTTACTGAGAAAGTAAAATTTGTAGCCTTAAATTTCTGTTCTCTTCTAACAAATAATTTCTTGATCAGTTCCCCAAATCACCCCAAATCATTCTTACATTTTCCTTTTGTCTTAAACCATTTACAAACATTTTTAATCGTGATATAATATACATAAGAAAATTTGCAATTTTAATCATACTTTTGATGTTGGATGATTTACTGACATGGCGATATTTTGCACAATCTGTTTTTTCTATAGTGGCAAAAAAATGACATAAAATTCATCTTCCCAACATTTCCAGGTGTACAGTATAATATTGCCAACCACCGGCACACTGCTGGACATCTCTGGTGCCTGAACCTGTAAGGCCATTGAAAAACAACTCCCCACTTACCCTGGCTTCATTGTCTGGCAACCATCTTTGTACCTTCTGTATCTGTGAACTCCAGTACTTTAGAGAGCTCATATCTAAATGGAATCACACAGTATTTGCTTTTTTTGTGATTGGTTTATTTTACTTTATTTTTTTTTGTACCAGGAATCAAACTCAGGACCTTGAGTTTACCAGGCAGGCACTTGTGCCACTGAGCTATATCCCCAACCCCATTACTGGTTTATTTTGTTTAACATAGTGTCCTTGAGTTTCATCCATGATGTAGCACATAACAGGATTTCCATCATTTTAAAGGCTTAGTAATATTCCACCCAATATATATACTACATTTTTAGCATTCATCCATAGATGGACGTTTAGATTGCTGCTACTTCTTGGCTATGGTGAATACTGCTGTCATGAACATGGGTATACAAATATCTCTTTGAGATCTTGTTTTCAATCCTTTTGGATATGTACCCAAAAGTGGGATTGCTGGACCATATGGTAGTTCTATTTTTATTTTTTTGAGGGATTTTAAGACTGTTTTCCACAGCAGCTGTACAAGTCTCATTCCCATCAACAATGTGCAAGGCTTCCAACTTCGTCCCCTCATCACTCCCTCATAACCATCTTAAAGTTTTACTTTAGTTTATTAGTACATGCTTGCGGTATGTAATAGTTACATACCTTGTGGGAAGTTGGTACATGCATGTAACATATCTTAGTTCCTTTTCTCATTCCCTTTCCTTTCCCTCCCTCCCCCTCTACCCATCTCTTGAATGCTTTCCACTTTTTGTACTTCTTTGCAGTGCATAATGTTCACATTGTTTATGTTGTGTTGGTAACGTGCATAACACACCCCATTTCCTTCTGTTTTCATCCCCTATTCCTTTCCTCCCTAGCCCCTCCCTTCATCTCCTGATCCGACTTCCCTCTGAGAAGGAAATCACATGATTTCTCTTACAAGGAGAAACTCAGAGTAAAAATAAAGAATCATTTAAAATGTACAGTTTGGTGGGAAGCATATTTACATTGTTGCAAACCAATCTGCAGAACTTTTTCATCTTGCCAAAGGCTTCACTTCTTGGTTTAGGTTTCCAGTGCTTGCCGTGAAAGAGCCCCAATATGTACACCCCCCAGTAAGATGAACCCCAATTCCATGGAGAGAGAAAAAGTGAGACAGCTTCTTCATCCTTCATGGTGCATCAACACATAATATTCTTAGTGTGTAAGTGGGTGAGTGGGGTGACAGGGGAAAGCCATGCCAGAGGATGTCTGCAATGGGGTGATAACACCCCTGAAAGACTAGAGAAGACATCTCAAGTTTCTCTCTCCCTCTCTCTCTCTCTCTCTCTCTCTCTCTCTCTCTCTCTCTGTGTGTGTGTGTGTGTGTGTGTGTGTGTGTGTGTGTGTGTGTGTTTGGGGAGAATAATCCAGAGTGCTCAGAGATGTAAAGTCACATATATAGACCTCTGCTCTCTACTGATGCAGAGAAATATTATTGTATCCTAACAAAAGTAAATTGTTCATTTTCTCAGTCAAGTGACTCCAATGCTGGCAACCTCTGGGGCACTTACTAAATACTCAGATGCCCCAGCCTTACCCTTTCTTCTCAGGGTGGGAATTCTTCAATAGGGCATGCCTCCAGCCCAGATAAACAAGCCCCAGGGGCAGAGGTTGAAGCTACTATTTTCCTCTACCAAGAACCTCTCACAGCCTCTTCTCAGACTCAGAGGAGGGCTGCTTTCAGAAGCACAGGATGTACTAATGCTGTTGTATTTTCTTGTCTTTCCCCTTTTAGGAGGGCAGTTGAAGGTCACATCACAAACCAGATGTGTATGATGAAGATGGAGTTCTTCCCAGATTCAGGGCATAGTTAGGGAAACAAGTGTTTAGTTTGTTGATTTCAGAAGTCCTGATTTGTCAAAGCCAATCATAGCCTTGTAATAATAAAGGGGAAAAACTGCTTGAGATTCCGAAGGGAGTCATGATTTAGTGATAGTCCCGAAGGAAAATTAGGGTCTGTATGTGATGGCTTTTCTCCTTCCTGCTGTCTCCTGAGAGATGATTACTCATTTGTAATTTATTAGCTAATTATGCATGGGCGAAGGCATATGAATCACTTCATTTAGATGATAGCAATTAGCAAGGGCTTGTTGGAGCTCTTCCTGTTGGGTTCTGGGTATGTTTAGACAACACAGGAGCTGCCGAGGCCAGCACCCTCAGGGGAGAAGAAACTCCATTTCCCCTTGTGCCTGCCTTGTTAGCAAGATGGTGCTTCTTTTAATGCCCCTGACCCTCAGTGGTCATGCCACTTACTGATCTGCCTTCACCCTTACAGGCTCTGTGGATCTGGGCAAATCATCTCTCTCTGGACCTTATCTGTAAAATGGCATCACCTACTCTCCTCACTTGCATGCAGGAATGTCTTGGTTACTTTTCTCTCCTTGCTGAGGCAAAATACCCAACGCCCAAAATGAAGGAGGGAAAGGTTTATTTAGCTCACTGTTTATGGTGGTTTCAGTTCATAATCTGCTGGCTCCCAGGCAGAGTGGCACATGGTAGGGGCAACAGTTCATGGTGGTGGAACAGGAAAGCAACAGGAGCAAAAAGGAGGAGTGGCAGAGAAGAGCAAACCTCTTTCCCTCCTTTATATTGTAAGCAGGCTACCCCGACCCAGCGGGCATGTAGCACTCACACAATCTCCATGCCCTCCTCTTACAGAGGCCCAGGATGAATACAAAGTAGAAGGTTAACTATATGACCCTGCTGAGTCATATAGTTAACCTTCTAAACTTCTCAGATTGACACAATGAACAACATCCCAGAAGGGTAAGGGCATGTCTTTTTCACCCCAGGATGCAGGACTGCTGAGTCACTTAGCCAAACCTTTAGACTCCCCAAGTTGACACAATGTATCAAGCATAACAAGGAGGCTGGCTGATGGACAGAAACTCAAGAAGATGAATTTGCAACTCCTGGCTGTTTGTTTTGCTCCTGACTCCCCAGAGGGTTGGGGAAATTACAGTCTTTAGAACACAGTGACTCTTTTTATTGTTCCTGCACACCTGGCAGGCAGGTGACCCAGGGTCTGTGTCCATGCTGTTCTCCTTAGCATGCTCTCTGGGACAGTCTTTGCACCATGGCAGTTCTTAACAAAGGACCACAGGTAACCTCAGTGCCTGTGAATAGAACAGCTCAATCAAATAGGTATATTCAAAAGCTAGACCACTACCAAGCAGTCACAGGGCTGATCTAGATCCTCGTGTTCCATATGGATGGTGGAAAGGGGATGAGTAATATGTACAGTAAGAGCCCACTTATGGCAAGATTCTGATGTACAATGTACATGCTTTCTGTGGGAAAGGCTTTTTCTCTATATATATGTCAATATATGTACGTATGTGTATATATATGTATGTGTATATGTCTGTATATATGTGTATATGTGTATGTGTATGTGTATACATACAGTCAAATCATGGATTGCATCCTGAGAAATGTGGATTAGGCAACTGCACAGTTGTGTGAACATCATGCAGTGTACTTTGCATAAATCTAGATGGGACAGGTCAATCACATGATGTGGCCTCTATTCAATCCAGAGACATGGCAAACATGAGCTGTAAGAGTGAGCTCTGCTGCCAGTGTGACATGGCACACTGTTTTACAGCAAGGTTTTGAATAAGTAAGAGGCGTGCACTCTAAAAAGTGATAAAAAGTATAGTATGATAAATACATAAATAGTAACTTAGACATTTATTATGATCATCAAGTATTATGTGCTGTACATAATTGTAAGTGTATTTTTTTAAAGACAGGATCTTCCTGTGTAGTTCAGGCTGGTCTTAAGCTCACTATGTAGCCCAGGCTGGCCTCAGACTCCCAGTGGTCCTCCTGCTTCAGTCTCCCAAATGCTGGGATTACAGATATGCACACCAAGTGTGGCAGTATGCACTGTACTTTTATATAACTGGCAGCATAGTAGGTTTGTTTACACTAGCATCTCCACAACATATATTTGACTGTGTATGTATATATATATATATTTTTTTTTTGACTCTGTGTATATATAGTTGACTGTATATATATATATATATATATAAATACATATATCTTTGACTGTATATATTTGACTTATGTTTGACTGCATGCATATATTTGGCTATATATGTTTGACTATGTAAGCATGCACATATGTATATAGTTGTCCTCTGGTAAAGATAAAAACAGTCCCGAGCTACATGTCAAACTGTATAGCTTAAAGGCACCATAGTATCATGGATGAAGACCTTTGGTCACCTGCTCTCCAATTCCGACTCCTTGGTGGAAAATGGAAGCTGTATCTGGGAGGATGACAAAGGACAAAGCTTTATCCAAATGCCCTGATTTTAAGGAAGTGTTTATTCAACGACTATGAACACCTGAGGCTCCCACCTGCCTCAGGTGTCCTGCGCTGCACCTGAAGCTCCCTTGCCTCATCCCTCTGCTCCTGCAACTTGGCTCCTTTCTTTATCCCAAAACAGATTTTAATAAAGTTGCTGCATGTGGAAGAGGATTATAGGTTCATCTGATTTCCGCTATTTGAAGTCCTGGGGGAAGGAAACCCTTGTTTAACTCAATTCATAACACTATTAATCCAACCATAAACCTTGAAAGGACAAGAGAATTCATTACAGCTGCCTCCAAGTGGCAAATCCTCCCTCGCACATGTCAGTGGGTGAGACTCTTGGGGGTGCAGGCTCCACTGTCTCTCGAAGGTCATTCTGAGATGCGGACTTCAAGGAGACTGTGCTGGACCTCTTACTCCTTCCTGGCCCTGCCTCACAGTCCCCAGATGGGAGCGCTGGGGCCCAGAGAAGTTGTGCAAGTTGTCCAGAATCACCAAGCTGAAAAGCAGGAACCTGGACCAACTCAGTTCTCCTGATTTTAGGTCAAGGGATCTGTCTTTTATAAAAAGTTTCAAATGCACCAAATTTACATTTAATCATTCCACTTTTCTAAGTCTAATCCAAGAAAATCATCTTGAATATGAAAAGAGCTATACCCATAGCATATTTATCACAACATAATTTATACTTTAGCAACTTGAATCACAGAGAATGTGTACTACAGGGGGAAAGAGCACTAACAATAACTCTGTGGGTTATGATGTGACTATTAAAATATTTCAAAAGACTCAAATAACCTTGCTAATACCCACAATATACCAAGAAAAACCCAGCAGGATGAAAATTGTATAGATAATATTGTTTGATTATAACATTATGAAAAATATATGCATAGGAAAAAAAGACTAAGAGAAAGAAAGCAAACTATTCTAAGGGCTTGTTGATTGCCCATGTGTTTAATAAAACACAACTGAATATGCTTTGAATTATTGTGCTGGGATTATGAGATGTACTTCTCTGTTTTGTTTTTGTCTCAACATTTTGTAATCACTAATATTATTTACTGATTAACTCATTTTAATTTTTGAAAAGTGGCCTGTCTGTTGTCTTTGATCACATTCCTGGTGAGAAATTTGCATGCAGAAGTTCAGTGGGGAAGAGCCCTTAAGATCTACACCTGGGCAGGATGAGGGACAAGAGCTTGGTCTGGGTCGAGATGGACAGTGAGCTGCAATGCAGTTACAATAAAGTCCTCATTGACCCATGGGAGCCCTGCAGCTGGGATGGATTTCAGGATGTTCTAAAAAGGTTTCTGATGCACAGGTACTGAGATTTTGTGGGAATTCTAGAGAGGCAAAGACAGTGAGTTGTATGATTTCAGAGTCCAAGTTTGGGGGCCAGCCTGCCTGGCTCCTCTCCTTACAAGCTGTGAGAACTAGGGTGTGTTGCTCCCTTTCTCTGTGCATTTTCCTTATCTGTACAATGTTCATAGTACTTCTATTTCCTGTCCCATCGGCATTCTCACACGTCATGCCCCTGCAGGGTGGGTGGATCAGAAATGGACCTCAACTGGAGGCACTGCTGGTGAGCAGGCATATGATGAACTACTGCTGAGCCTTGGAGCCGGATGTCCCTGCAGCCAAGGCTGCCTTTGTCCCTGCACAGAAAAGGCGCTCTCAGCCTCACCACAGCACCTGGCCCAGTGGCTTGGACACAGACACCTTATATCACTGGGGCCCCCCAGGGTGAAGCCCACTGTGGCAAGGTTGGGAGGCGCCTCCCCATCCTGGCAAGATGCTTGACAGGGCCAGTTTCTGGCTCCAGT